GTAAGTAAGTATTGTGTATTGATATAGCGCATTTAACGTGTATTGCTGTACATCCAAAGTGCTTTACAATCATAAGGGTGCTCTTTCCACATCACCACCAGTGTGCAGCATCCACTTGGATGATGCGACGGCAGCCATAGGACAACGGTGCCAGTGTGCTCAACACATACCGGATATAGATAGAGTGGAGAAACAGACCAATTCGGGGGTTGGAGATGATTGAGAGGCCATAATCAATAAGAGCTGATGGAGGGAATTTGACATTAGGGTTACACTCCTTCACTTCCAACAGCAACCTAGTTTTCCCATGTGATCTCCCATCCAGGTACTGACCAGGCTCACCCCTGCTTAGCTTCAGTGAGTAACTGGTCTTGGGCTGCAGGGTGATATGGCTATGACAGTAGCTATGATGATTGTATCTGACCGGAGCCTGATGTCATGATGACATGTAACTATTTAACTTTTTTGTTTTATTATTATTATTATTTTTTTGGCTAAAAGGTGGCTAATTCATGCGACTTGATGAAAATGTAACATTTTAAAAAGGAGACCTACTCCCTAAACCTCAGATCTATATCCAACTTCTATTGGGGGATGAGTAAATCATACTAAAATGTACAAACAATATCGTACAGATTAGTAAAAATTAGCCATCAAATAAAAAAAAAATGACGAAATTGGCATCTTGACTACATTGTTAATTAAGTTTGCCTTGATACAGGAATTCTTTACTAATCAATACTGAAGTTTTAAAAACGTTCATTTCTTGACCGCTGTTAAGCTTTTCCTAAACAACAGAAATGACTGTGACTGGCCGTGAAGGTCATCAATTCAGTAAACTCACCACTGTTAACTAAGTGTTACCACAGATACAGAGACACTGGAGCATTTTAAAGCCGCGATTCATAAGCGGATTGTACATATGTCAGCTTTTAGACAAACCAGCTGATCGACGTGACTTTGAAATGCTCCAGTGTTCCTGTATCTGTTATTGAATAAACAGCAGTAACTTTGGTGAACTGATGACCTTCACGGCCAATCACAGTCATTTCTGTTGAGCATGTGAACACAATGGCAAATCAGCAGTGTTTAAGGACAACATTGCTCAAATGCTAGTAGAAAATGGATGTTTTTACAATTTCAGTATCCATTGGTACCGAATTCCAGTATCGTGACAACCTTACTGTGACCAATTTTTCTGTACAATCTACAGTAACATACTGGCAGCAGTTCACCAGTAACTTACTGTAAATCACTTACAGCAAATGTGCTGTATTTACAGACACAGAGCGGCACTCGTACCAAGTCGAAAACAGACAATAGCTACGTTGCGCATAAGCAAGATGCGCGTAAGTTTTGAAAATGCGCATAAAAAACATATGCGCATAATGGAGTAGGGTAAAATTTTTATTCGATAAGAAAAGGTGTGCATAAACTATAATAAACACACTTTTACTGAACAAATTCCAGCATGCGCATTAAAAAAAAGTCCTGTGATGTTGTTATAATAGATCATGTGATGATAAAAATGTGTGTGAATGGACAAACCAGCAGCTGAGCACATTGTAAAACATCTGAAATGTTGTTTTGGTCATTCTTACACACCTTAACCGTTTCAATATTAGTGTTATTATATTATTAATGATCTCCAGAATCGAGCGTTTGTGCTCCACGTCTGACACCTTCGAACGCCACTGCATGTTCATTGCGTGTCAGGATTGCTTTCTGAGGCGCAATTAATTTATTAAATGAAGAAAAGATTCATGCAGCTTCTTCCACCGCAGCAAATTCTGTTTTTACTGTTGATATTGCACTTAAAGTTAATTCGCATTTTTGGGTGGAAACATTTTCCCAGAGATGGGTTGGGGCTGGAAAGACATCCGCTGCGTAAAAACGTGCTGGATAAGATGGCGGTTCATTCCACTGTGGCGACCCCAGGTTAATAAAGGGACTAAGCCGAAAGTAAAATTAATGAATCGATGGAAACATAGCTTATGACAGGAAATACGTGCTCGACCTGAGAAAACTTGAGCTAAGCTCAACATACAAGACACGACAGGACTAGTGTCTGGACTGTGCCACCAAAACAAGAATTAACAAGACTGAAGTGGTAGAATCCTGACAGTTAACCAAATTATGCCTTTAAATGGCACTTGCCTTTAAATAAGCTGGATACTAGCATTTTTTAAAAGAACTAGTAAAATACTATGTACTGTCATCAGGATAAAGACAAAGTAAATAAGTTATTAGAAATTAGTTAATAAAACTATTATGTTTAAACATTTTCTCACAGCACTTGGATAATATCTGAAAAAAAAAAATTCACATAATTGCTAATAATTCTGACCATATATCCATATAATTCTGACATCATTAATCATAGATTGTATACTATAAACCTCTTTTCATCTCTGACACATCTATATAACAATTTTATTTTCAAAGACCAAGAAAAAAAAAAAAGATCATGATGCGTGGTCTTTTATACCCATGCACTAATGTATTCAGAATATGAACCACCACACCGTTTCATGTTCTACATGCATATTTTGAAAGCTACACACTGCGATGATCATAACAGATGATATATCGCTGATTTGGAAGAGTGCTTTTTCCTTCACAATAAGCTCCAGAGAGATATTTATGCGAGTATGGCTTTATGTCTTCCCGCAGCTGCTCGGCGTCCCCTCTCTGTATTAATCATCTCGGCGCAGATCACAAGTGCGATAGGCCCGGCATCCTCCGAGATTAGCCTTCATCTCACCGTCAAAGCCCACTCCAGACCCTCTCCCAGACCGAGACTCCTGCAATATCCCTAATCCTTTAGGCTAAGGATAATTTATGGTCAAATAAAGGAAAGCAGGTCAAAACTAATGTCACATTATGATCAGCCAGCCTGGTTTATAGAAGCTCCGCGTGGTCCTCTGTGGTAACGCTACCTGGCTGTGGCACTACAGTAATTACCCCACTGTCACCCCAGTAAGTGGTATTAATGGCAGCCTTGTGCACTCTAGTCCTCGCCGAGCTTGGAGAATTGTGAGACGGGATTATTATGGGCATCCAGCTGCGTGTGGCTCTAAACGTGCAGGTGTTTGCTCCACTTTTGTACCTTTTTGCGTCCGGTGCAAGTTACGTCTTTTTTCTTATATGTGTATCCTCAAAACTTAAACCCCTTTCACACAATGATACCGCTAAATGTCCAAAAAAGTTTTGTTCACACAGGAGGTTCCGGAATTTTTCTGGAAAAGACCATTTACACATTCATACCAAAATACCGGTAAATTCTAACATTATTAACCAGAAATGGCCTCTAAACGGCTGCGCTTGTATTTGTAAACATTGAAGGCGTTGGGCTTTTGTTGATGGTTTCACTTTTATTTAAAGCTTTAGCATTCATGAACCTGATTTGTCCCTCCATGTCACTACTACCACCATGCTTCACTGCTTAGGATCATGAGCAGTTCCTTCTCTATCTACTTCTTTTCTCATCACTCTGGTACAAGTGGATCTTCATCTTATCTGTCGATAGGATGTTCTTCCATCACTGTGAAGGCTTGTTTAGAACTCTAATCTGGCCTTCCTGTTTTTGAGGCTCACCAATGGTTTACATCTTGTGGTAAACCCTCTGTATTCCCTATGCTGTAGTCTTCTCTTGATTGTTGACTCTGACACACATGGACCTAATTGTAGATTTATTTTTTTCAAGACCTTTTTTTTAAGTATTAGTAACTTTTACTGCTAAAATATCAACTGGCCTTCTCTTCAATAGCATTTTTGTCACATTTTGTGACGCCATATAAAATAATCAGCATTCAATAGATTATGTCTAATACAGAAGTTATATAATTTTGCGTTCTTTATCTCAGATTATCAAACATATAGAAATTATATTAAAACGTAAAAAAACGAAACAATTCTAATTTTTTGGATCGATTGGATCTGTTCTGTAAAATGGTATCATTGCATCCATAGTCTCTGGACCAGAGCAGATTATACAGTATATGTTTGTAGATTATGTTACATTAATGTGAAACCAGACTACATTCACCCCAAAAAAAGCATATTTTCACCATCTGAAATATGTATCCCCTAAATAGTGCACTATGTGCCATTAACCAATGGGCTTAAATTACAATGTTCTAGTTTACTTTCTATTTAAATGTGTTTGTGTGTGTGTTTATTGTATTTTTCCCTTTAGTGTTTGCCATAGAAGTAAGTTTACATGCATAGTGTTTTTTTTTAGTTCCTTCCCTCATAATTATGACTAATAAACATAGAGGATTTATAATCAACACTGCCAGATACTTAAAACAAAATATATTGTTTTCGTATTTGTTTTTATTTAGTAGTATGAATGCCGAGTTATGTGAAGAACGTGACAGATTTCAGCCATGTCTTCTAAATACCATTTGATTGTTCTAAAGTGCATGACAATATAATTAAAACATATTAATTCTAATTGACAGAAGTGAGAAATTGCAAGTTTTGATTGCAAATGTCTTCTTAATTTAAATTTTGGCTTTTTTTTTGGAGCACACAACCTTATTTTATAGATAACCTAAAAACTAACACATTGATAAGTACATTCAGTGGCTTTTTTAACAGCAGTGTTTTTTTTTCAGATGTGAAATAATGTAAGATTTAAGCCCTAGCTATTTTTCTCCAGTCACACACTATTCACATCCAGGGACCAAACACACCACATCCCATCTGATTGGGCATGAATATTTAATTGGGCGGCTCCAAATTATACTATTTGTCATTCAAAACTGTGTGTCATCAATATGGTGTCTTTGAGATGCGGTTGCTGGGAAAGAAAAAGTCCTGCGGCACAAAAGCTTGCGATTGATTTCCTCTGGGTGCCGTGGTGTGTTTGTAATTGGCTGAAATGTGCCATTCCAGTGGGATGACAACACAAACTTCTGGTTCATACTGTAAATAACTTTGCGTGTGAGGTAATTCATGCACTGTCTTTGTTTTTTTTTTCTTTTTTCTTACAGGTGTTTGAAGTGTGCAGATGCACCGTGTCAGAAAAGCTGCCCCACCAATCTGAACATTAAGGCCTTCATCACTAGTATAGCAAACAAGGTATGATGCATTATTTAATGAATTTAATCTACTGCATTTATTTGAGGGAGAAAAAAAAAGTGGTGTTGGGAAGATTTATTAAAATGTGAGAATTATTGAGAGTTTATTTTTGTTATTATAATTATTATTTTTTGATGTTTGTTTAGTAGCAAGTAGTCTGTTTGTACATTTGTTCAAATGTTTGCTTGTTCTTGCAATTCGTTTGTACATTCATACGTACATTTGTTTGTAAAATTCGTTCATACATTTGTTCATTTGTACCTTCATTTGTACGTTTGTATGTAAGTTCGTTGGTACATTTGTTCATACATTTGTTTGTACGTTCATTCATATGTTCAATCATACGTTTTTTTATACGTTTTTTATACGTTCATTCATCTGTTCATCCAAACGTTGGCTCGTACAATTGTTTGAACATTAATTAATTCATTTATTTGTTTAGTTTTTACTGATTATAATTTCAATATATTCTTGTTGTACATGTATGTATTTTTATACTGTATAGAGCAGTTTTAATAGCATATTTGGCTTCAGCATGCAGATTTAATCTCTGAACAAATTCTTTATTTATAACTCAATTGTGAAGATTTATCAAAATATGAGAATTTGTGAGTTTATTTTTGTTATTATAATTATTTATTTGTTTAGTACCCAGTAGTTTGTTTGTGCGTTTATTCAAACGTTCGTTTGTTCCTACGTTTGTTCGTTCTTATATTCATTTGTACATTTGTTCATATGTTTGTTTGTTTGTTCGTTCTTACGTTTGTTCATATGTACGTACGTAAGCTCCTACATTTGTCCGTTCATATATTCATTTGTACATTTGGTCAATGTGTACATTGTACATGTGTACAATGCTCATTCATTCGTTTGTTAGTTTATATTCAGATACATACATATGTTCATTCATTTGTTCATTCTTTCATACATGCGTACATTCATACATACGTACGTTCATTTGTACGTACCTTCTTTTAAACATTTGTCTGTACGTACGTTCTTTCTTACATTCATCTGTACGTTTGTCCATACGTTCGTTTGTTCGTTGGTTCGTTTGTTTGTTCGTACATTCGTACGTTCATTCGTACAATCTTTTGTACATTTGTTCGTACACTATTTCATACATTCATCTGTGCGTCCATCTGTACGTCCGTCCGTTTTTCTGTCTGTACGTTCATCTGTCCGTAAGTTCGTTCCTACGTTGATTCGTTCATACATTTATTCATTTTTTATTTATTCATTCAAAAAATTATTTCAATTTGCAAAAAGAATATATTTAAAAGACTCGAAATCATACATAATGTACAGTATGTCCATATCTACTGTATGTATTTATTTATAATTAATTTTTTTTATATTTTTTTATTTACCACGTCATTTCTGTGTGGAGTTTGCATGCTCTCCCTGCGTTCACGTGGGTTTCCTCCGGGCACTCTGGTTTCCCCCACAGTCCAAAGACATGCATGGATTAGGTAGGCTAAATTGTCTGTAGTGTATGAGCGTGAATGAGTGTGTGTGGATGTTTCCCAGAGATATGTTGTGGCTGGAAGGGCATCCGCTGCCTAAAAACGTGCTTGATAAGTTGGCGGTTCATTCCACTGTGGCAACCCCGGATTAATAAAGGGATTTAGCCGAAAAGAAAATAAATGAATATATATATATATATATATATATATATATATATATATATATATATATATATATATATATATAAAAGATTACAGAAGGAACAAAGATCCTTTTCTTCACCATTTTTATTATTTTTTTATTATTATTATAGTCAGTTACCCTTAATCTCATAAAAACATGTTCACCTTACATTGAGAGATTGAAACTTTGTAATTTTAAGGAGCATTTATTGGATATAAAATCATACCCTGTGCACAGAATGAGTCATGTGATTTTGGTGTATTTTAAATTTTTTTTTAAAGTTAAATAGCCACAATTATAAAAAGACATCTATGAAAAGCCACAATTCATTGAAAGCCACAATGTTTAGCAGCCTCACATATTATGTACATGACCTGAAAGCTAATAGAAGAGGACTAAAAGCCACAAAGTTTTCATTTTCACAGCTTCTTTTATTATCTAAAAATCATAAATAGCAGGCCTACGCGATCCGGGGGAGATCAGCGCAATAACAAACACAAAACAAACAGAAAAAGCTGTTATCTAACTCATCACATTTCATATATTTCCCTTACGTTGTACAACAGGTTCCTAATATACGGCATGTAACTTTGATATCAAATATATTTCTGGAGAAAAAGACATTAGTGTTTATATTTCATATGGTATGAATATGAAATGTCAGATTTTTTTCATGTAGTCTTATCTTTCTCCTTTTGATTAGATTTTTTTTTTTTTTTCTAACAGACTATAGATTTCAGAAGTAGCTACAGAAGTCATAGATGTATTTATATAAATATATACATATACATGTGCATCTCTTATTTTATCTCGCTCGCTTATTATGTAGTTTAATTAGGTAAAGAAACTGATTAGAATTTCAGTATATTCTTGATGTACATATGTATATGTATATTTATACTGCATAGAGCTGTTTTTATAGCATAATTGGCTTCAGGATGCAGATATAATCTCTGAACAAATTCTTTATTTATTATTCAGTTGTGGAGCAGTACATCCTGAAAGTTTGCTTGTGTACAGTACATTTTAAAAAGAAAGTTTTTGCATTTGGGTTGTGCAATATTTATCATCTACAATAATACTGTTAATGTTGTTTTAGGGTGGTGGAAGCTGAGATTATTGAGTATGTCATTAATTTTTAAAAACAAACAAAAACATACCTTGAAGAAGAAGAAGAAAGACAATATGTTGAAAATGTTGGAAACCTGTGACCATCGACTTCCATAGTAAAACAGGTACTATGGAAGCTAATGGTAACAGGTTTACAGTATTCTTCAGTATATCTTCTTGTTTTCAACAAATAATAACACATGCTCATTGGGAATATGTGCCCAGGGCTACAGTTTTGGGAACCGAGAAATATATGCGCGGGGATCCAAAATGGCTACATTTTATCTGTAAAACTAACGTTATGGGGTGGTACCACTGACCTCTGTATAGATAGCTTATTCTGGTGTGACTAGTTTGCTTGGTAACTATGTACAGTGTTGTACCGGGGTTCGAGTCAGTGTGAAATCGTGGTAAAGGCATGCAGCCACAAAGGTTTTTCACCAAGTTTGCCTTTTGAAAACACTAATGGTTGGGTGTGTGGGTCAGTCAATAGCAAGCTAAATGGCTTTTTTCACAGACACACATGAAAAGCATGTTGAGATTGGCAGGAATGTACACAGTGGCATGTGGTGGATTTACCAGAAATGGCACTTATAAGAAAACATGCCTTAGTACATGTACAGCAAAACAAAAAGTGCATTTTTTGTACATATTTTTTGGTTCTCAAAAAAATGTAGCCTTGGGCACGCATATCCAATGATTCTGGGTTTCAAATTAACTACAAACAAGTTTGGGGCAAATAAAGAGTGAGTAAATTATGACACTTTTAATTTTGGGTGAACTATCCCTTTAAAAATGTACTCACCTCTTCTACAATCAAACATTACAAAATAAACACATCTGATCAGTTTCCAAAAGGTTTTACATGTCTCTCTACAGAAGTAAAATATATATATTTTTTTTCATGTTGACTTAGCTTGAGAAACAAACAACAACAAAAAAAAAATGTTAGCATTGGCAGCCGCAGGTTGGTTTCCATTTACTAAAAATGAAAGCCAACACCATACAAGATGCCTTCATTATTTAAAAGGGGTAGTTCAGCCAGAAATGAAAATGTAATGTTTATTCACTCACCGTTACAGTATATATGATGTGTTTCATCATTAGAACATTAAAAAAAGAGTGATTTTTTTTAAGAAACTGATGTCCTTGGGGATTCATATACTACATACATTGCACTGTAAAGAAATGTTAATTAAGAGTTTCTCTTAAGTTGCAGTTCAGTTCAGGTTTCTCTAAGCTTGTAGTTTGACCTTGATCTCTGCTGTAAACAGTTCTCACATTGAAAACTTTAACAAAGTGACTTTTATTGACATTCTTAGTAGCTTGAAACGATATTGTCATGGTTCTCAAAAATATGTAATAGATATTTTATATATATATATATATATATATATTGTAGATATTATATACCACATCAACGCAAGTCTCGGAAAATCTCATAGCCAGAGATCTGTCTCATCCCTATTGAAATTATATTGTCATGGTTAATTAATTAATTAAAGGATAATTATAGAGGTAACAGTGATGGTATTTTATTTATAATTTATTGCATATATTTTGTAAATGTTATACAGTATAATGTTTCAGGCTTAATAAAAATGAGTTTACTGAAAATACCAGTGAAATGTAACGTATTTCAGATTGTCAAACTGCAAAACAAAGTGCAATCGCATGTAGCCCTGGGAAATATTTCTCGGCTCTCAAAAATGTAGCCCTGGGTACATACTGTATCTCCAATGAGTTGACAAATAAACTCAAACAGGTTTGGAGCTAGTAGAGTGTGAGTAAATGATGACAGAACTTAATATTCTGGGTGAACTATCCCTTTCAAATGTATCTACAAGCAAAAAAAATCCCTTTAAAACTCTTCTACAAGCAAACATTCTAATATAAAACTGTCTGATCAGTTCCAAAAGGTATTACATGTCCATTTACAGAAGTAAAATATCTTTCTTTACATGTTGACTTAGCTTGAGAAACAAACAAACAAAATATGTTAGCATTGGCAGCCGCAGGTTGGTTTCCATTTACTAAAAAATAAAAGCCAACACCATACAAGAAGCCAGACCTGAGCTCTACATCAGGATGACTGACTTTGCCATTGTAATAGACGTAATTGTGACATTCATCGACGGCAAAAATGCAGCACTGAGCTTTGAGTTATGCTTTTAATAAGAGATCTGCTGTTGGATGCTGTGAATTATTCGCGGGGAATAATGAGTTTTTTTGTGCTCATTTGTTTGACTTTTTGAGGGAGCGTTTTAAAGCTGCACTACAGCGGCTCTTATGGATGCATTGCAACCGTGTATTTGAAAATCAGCCATTCATTCCAAGCAGGAAAACTGACTTGCACAATCAGCTTTTGAATAAAGCCATTGCAAGATGTCTTTAATGCGTGTTGTCGGGAACACTGCATTTCTGTGCCGCGCCGTTGTTCTGTCAAGGTTTCCATCATACCGTGCATTCTGCGACTTTAGCGCGCCATTGAGGCTTCTGGCCTTAATTCAAGGCTGTCTGGAGAGGAGAGATGTTGTCTGCTTTTTTTTTTTTATTTCAGAGCGAGACACGTGTCAGTCAGGGGGTGATTACTGTCAGAATGGGCTTGTTAGATGAGAGAATGGAAGAAGAGAATGAAAAAAAAACGAGTCTATCACAAAGTTTTCCTTCAATGTAGTGTTTGAATAGAAGTATTAAAGTTTTTATTTATCATTTAAAGTTATAGGGAGAGTTCAGCCAAAAATGGCAATGTTGTTTCCTCACCTTTAGAGTATAGGTGTTGTTTTTATTTTATCATAGAACATTAATGAAGACTTTATTTTATGTGTTAAAGAAACTTTGGTCCTTGAGGATTCATATACTGTAAAAAAAAGTTAATTACGAGTTTCTCTTAAGTTGCAGTTCATGATTTCGGTTTATTTATGCTTTTGAATGGCGTGGTTTGACTTTGATCTCTGCTGTAAATACTTTTCAAGTTTAAAACTTTAACAAAGTGACTTTTACTGACATTTTTAGTAGCTTGTTATCATATTGTCATGGTTAATCAAATGATTTGTGGATAAATATGGAGATATCCGTGCTGGTATATATTGCATAGATTTTATTTTGTATATATTATGCATTTTTTTATACAAATCATAGTTTTAGGCTAAAAAAAATAGCAGTACATTTTCAAAAGTCAGAAATTGCAAGTGACGTGAAATTACCAGTGAATCACAATATTTTAGAAATGGTTAATTAACGTAATAATTAACAGTAAAAAAATACATGTTTGAGAATATGGACGGCAAAAAATATTATTGTCATATTTTAAATAAATAAAAAAAATATTACCAACTGCAAATATTATTGGTTAAAAAATTACAAATTATTTTTATTTATTTATTTATTTATTTATTTATTTATTTATTTATTTATTTATTTATTTATTTATTTATTTAATCATTCATTCATTCATTTTCTTTTCAGCTTAGTCCCTTTAATAATCAGGGGTTGCCACAGTCGAATCAACCACCAACCTATCCAGCATGTTTTACACAGCGGATGCCCATCCAGCCCAACACTGGGAAACACCAATACACTTTTCCATTCACACACATACACTAAGGCCAATTTAGTTTATCCAATTCATCTATATCGCATGTCTTTGGACTGTAGGGAAAACTGGAGCACCTGGAGGAAACCCACACGAATGTAGAGAACATGCAAACTCCACACAGAAATGCCAACTGACCCAGCCAGGGCTTGAAACAGCAACCTTCTTGCTGTGAGGCGATCGTGCTACCCCCCACACCTCCATGATGCCCTTATTCATTTATTCATTTATTTATTTATTTATTTATTTATTTATTTATTTATTTATTTATTTATTTATTTATTTATTTATTTATTTATGTTGCTGTAATAATGTTTTGTTTCTTGTACTTTACCATATTACTAAGCTAACAATACACTTTCCAAATAAGCACAGAAAATTATATAGCATGCACAAACTTGCACTATAGTGTGGTTCATAGACATGTATAGTATAATTTTGCATGTATATTGTAAATATGTATGTTCAAACACATGTCTGAATCGTTAAAATGACTGTTTTGTGTATTTGTTGTAATGAAATTTTATCTGTGTGCTCTATAGCTCTTTGTAGCTCTATAAATGCTATCTAGATGTGCACCTCACTAGGTTTTCATACACATATTTTGTGTTAATTTTGACAGAATTATTACGGAGCAGCAAGAGCCATTTTGTCAGACAATCCGCTGGGTTTGACGTGCGGGATGGTGTGTCCCACTTCAGACCTGTGTGTCGGAGGATGCAACCTGTATGCGTCTGAGGAAGGACCCATCAACATTGGAGGACTGCAGCAGTTTGCTACTGATGTAAGACTTTTTTTTATTTTTATCTCTCTTTTTTTTTGCCTTATTGGATAATAGAGGGTAAAGAAAGGTCCGTTCACACCTACACCAGTAATTATGATGATAAAACACAATTAAATCATTCTAAATTTAAAAGCATTAGTCTAAATTACACCTCATCTGTAAAGATAATGATGCTGATAAAGAATAGCATTGGGATTATTTTCAAAAACAGCTACTGAATTATGAAATTATAAATAAATAAAATATAAATATACAATTATAATTGTAAATTATAAAAATTTCAGCAGCCAATCCTAATCCATCCTAAAGGAAGAATTCATCCTAAAGGAAGGATGGTTTAGATCTCATTATGGCTTGGTTCTATTTTACCCTCCATAAAATAAAATAAAATAAAATAAAATAAAATAAAATAAAATAAAATAAAATAAAATAAAATAAAATAAAATAAAATAAAATAAAATAAAATAAAATAAAATAAAATAAAATAAAATAAAATAAAATAAAATAAAATAAAATAATAAAGCAGCCAATCATAATCCACCCTAAATGAGAGGGTGCTCATTTAGCCCTAATTATGGATTTGGTTCTTTTTTGACCTGGAAAACTATATATATATATATATATATATATATATATATATATATATATATATATATATATATACATATATATATAGATATAGATAGATAGATAGATAGATAGATAGATAGATAGATAGATAGATAGATAGATAGATAGATAGATAGATAGATAGATAGATAGATAAAAAGAGGTTTAAGTATGAACTTGTACCATTTTTTTCATTTATTGTCCTTGCAAAATAAATATAATAACTATAATATAATAAATAAAAATTATATAAAATATAAAATAAAGATGTGAATAAAAATGATCAAATTAAATTAAATACAATAATAAAAACTAAAATAGTTTTAGTAAGAGCTTGTTACTGTTATTTTCATTCCATTTTGACCTGGGAAAAAAATAAGAGATAAAATGAGATTAAGATTAAGCAAAAACTTAATTAAACAAATAAAATAATTAAATTAAATAAAAATGTATTAAACTAGAATAAAAAGGAAATAAATAAAATAAATGATCAAGTAAATAACTGAAATTGAAATAAAATAAATTAGATAATAATTTAAATTAAAAAAATCACAAACACAAATATTACATTATATTAAATGAACAAAAAAATATTGAAAATTAATAAATTAAATAGTTTTAGTCTGAGCTTGTTACTGTAATTTTGGTTTAAATAAAATAAAATAAAATAAAATAAAATAAAATAATAATAGTAATCAAATAAAATAAATTGAAGTTTTAGTCCGAGCTTGATACTGTTATTTTCATTACAGTTTGAGCTGGACAAAAAAATAAAAATAAAATAAAATAAATATTTTGACCTGGAAAAATAAAATAACATTTAATTTAGGTATAAATATAAAAATAAAATACAATAATTAAAAAAAAAAAACTTAAAATAAAATATTGCTATTGTTATTTTTTTTTACATATTTAAATAATCTTTTTATATATTTGTTTTTACACTTTTTAAGTTCAAGTCATATTGCACACCGGTCCATTAGTTAAAAAAATCTAAAAGTGTAAAAACTTTATTAAAATTATATATGAATTTATTAGTGTCCACACGAGCTTCACAGACGCTACAGCATTGAAAGGTTATAAAGTTTACAGGAAGTGAAAAAAACTTTCCTTTTTATTCTATCATTTCCATCTAATCAAACTGAATTTCTATGATCATTTTTTTTAGCAGCACACCTGAGTGAAATCCGTGTATGTCATAGAGCTGATGGATTATTTGAACAAAAAATTTAGTTACTCATGGGTTTGAATCTCTTAAAATTGCAGCATAAAATTACTCCCTAATTTTTTAGTGCAGTTAACCTGTAAGTAAAGCATTTTTTTTTCATTCACTCTATGAACACTGTCATGAAGATCTTGCTTGGTGTGCCAGTGTTAATGACGTTTCTGTTCGTCAGCAATATGAACTCCTGATGTGTGACACTCTCTATGACACTACTGCTGAGATTGTGCTGGGAAAAGACAAATTATGTTGCTTCAAGTCAATCAAGAACGATGCTTAGTTTATTCAGAGGATGTGACTAAGGCCCTGTTTATACCCGCTATTAAAGCAATCACTCTACTTGGCTCATTTCACGTATCTTTACCAAGTTTAAATGCCAGGTGTAACAAATGATTGGGGTGTCAACAGAGTTGAGGGTCCAAATGCAGTTTATTTACAAATTAGTCAGACAGGCAATGGTCAAAACAGGAGCAAAAGGTATCATGGGGTAATCCAAAAGCATAGTCGTGGTTACAGGCAAAGAGGTCGGTGCAGGCAGCAAACAGCATAAACCACTAAACAAGGCAAGGATCAAAAGGCCTGGCAAGGCTAGACAGGACTAATGCTTGGTAATATTACAGGTGAACAAGACTCAGCCATGTGTGAGAGAATGCGAGGTGTATAAAAAGTCCAAATAATCAGTTTTCATGAGCTACAACTGTGTGCAAGTGGTGATCCAGAACTGGCGTGTGTGTGTGAGGTGCTTGATGTGAGATGTAATGCAGTTCAGTGGCTGAATTTTCCAGCAATCAGCAAGGGCTAGATCGCTGGTGTTTGTGACTCCAGGTTTGAACAGTAATGCATCTCCCTCATCTGATTGTAATGAGATAGTGTTTATAACACCCTTCTAAGCAAATTTCATAATTTTCATAGACAGAATTTTAAGGGCTGGAGGTGGTCCGATACGGGGACCACATGATTTTATCTCTGTTATTCGCAGACGATGATGTTCCGTTGGCTTCATCGAACATGGACCTTCAGCATGCACTGGGGCGGTTTGCTGCCGAGTGTGACGCGGCTGGGATGAGAATCAGCACCTCCAAGTCCGAGGCCATGGTGTTCCACCAGAAAAACGTGTTTTGCCATCTCCAGGTTGAAGGAAAGTCCTTACTCCAGATGAAGGAGTTTAAGTATCTCTGGGTTTTGTTCACGAGTGAGGGAAGGATGGAATGTGAGATTGACAGGCGGATTGGTGCAGCGGCAGCAGTATTGTGGTCGTTGTACCGGTCCGTTGTGGTAAAGAAGGAGCCGATCCGAAAGGCAAAGCTTTCGATTTACCGGTCAATCTACATTTCTACTCTGATGGTCATGAGCTTTGGGTCATGAGTTTTCTTCGAAGGGTGGCAGGGCGTACTCATATGGATAAGATGAAGAGCTCTGTCACCCGGGAGGAGCTCGGAGTGGAGCCGCTGCTCCTCCACATCGAGAGAAGTCAGCTGAGTTGGCTCGGGCATCTGTTTTGGATGTCTCCTGGACACCTACCTAGGGCTCCAGGCATGTCCAACCGGGAGGAGGCCTCGGAAAAGACCCAAGACACGCTGGCCTAGGAACGCCTCTGGATCCCCCCTTAGGAGCTGGAGGAAGTGTCTGGGGAGAGGAAAGTCTGGGGTTCTCTCCTAAGACTGTTGCTCCTGCGACCCGGCCCTGGAAAAGCGGCAGAAAAGGAATGAATGAAACAAAACATCACCCAGGCAAATAAAAAGTAACATGTAAGCAAGCCCTAAAAAGAATGGACTGCTATTATACTGGTTTACAGTAAACAGATACATAAGAAAATATGTCAAAGTTCAAACTTTACTTAAGGACTTTCATTGCCTTAACTTAATTATACCAACTTTTTAAATTAACCTAATTAATATAGTTAAGCCTCTTAATGTCACTTTAAGCTGTATACTAGTATGTTGAAAAATATCTAGTAAAATATTATGTACTGTCATCTTGGCAAAGAGACAATAAATCAGTTATTATAAATGAGTTATTCTGTTTAGAAATGCATTGAAGAAATCTTCTCCGTTAAACTGAAATTGAGAAAAATATAATTAATAATAATATTTCAGAAGGACTAATAATTCTGACACCAACTGTATCGAGTTTGTTTGGTCACATGTTATTTATATATTTTTTCAAGATGGAAACTTGAGCCGTGTTATTCATTATTTGATTTCTGTATTTATGTTTTGCTTTGCAGGCGGTATGCAGCTCTGCGGTAACTGCTAATTAAAAAGAAATGAAAGTGTGTGGGTTTGATGTGCTCGGCTTGACCCTCAATTGTGTGCAGATAAGTGGGAGTTTCCTGTACGTGGCGAGGGCTGACGCTCAATATAATGTTTCAGCATTTTCAGAAATACACAATAAAGCATCAGAAAGGACAGCAAACACCTGTTGACATATGTAAATCACTGCACTGCAAACGCAGCTTTTGTTCAACTGGATTTATGATGCTGAATATTATTGGTTAGAAGACTACTATCTATAGAGATCAGAATTAGAGTCAGTTTGAATGTTTATGTAATGTTTATAAAATATACAGTAAGTCATTTTGCCATTGAGATTGAATTTTCCATAATCTGTCACTTTTAAGTGTATGTAAACATCAGTCTAATAATTTTATGATGCTTTCATTCATTTTTTTTTCAGCTTAGTCCCTTTATTAATCTGGGGTCGCCACAGTGGAATGAACTGCCAACTTAACCAGCATTTGTTTTACGCAGCGGATGCTTTTACAGCTGCAACCCATCTCTGGGAAGCATCCATACTCACTCATTCACACTCATACACTATGCACAATTTAGCTTACCCAATTCACCTGTACCACATGTCTTTGTACTGTGGGGGAAACCGGAGCACCCGGAGGAAACTCACGTGAACACAGGGAGAACTTTATTATTATTATTATTATTATTATTATTATTATTATTATTATTATTATTATTATATAATAAATTATTATTGATAATGTATTATAATAATTTTCATATAGTACATTATAGGCCCAATTTGTTGAAGTATATATAATTATAAAGTTATCATAATAATAATAATAATAATAATAATAATAATTATTATTATTATTATTATTATTATTATTATTATTATTATTAGTAGTAGTAGTAGTAGTAGTCGTAGTAGT